AGAGCGCACTACAGAAGTCGTCGTCGTACTACCAATACTTCAATAGATATGAGTAGTGGTAGTAGTCGTCGTCGTAGTAGTAGTAGTGTTGTAGTAGTAGTAGTAGTAGTAGTAGTAGTAGTTGCAGCAGTAGTAGTAGGAGTAGCAGCCGCAGCAGCAGCAGCAGCAGTAGCAGCAGTGGCAGTAGCAGTAGCAATTAGCAGTAGCAGTAGCAGTAGCAGTAGCAGTAGCAGTAGGAGTAGGAGTAGGAGTAGGAGTAGGAGTAGGAGTAGGAGTAGGAGTAGGAGTAGGAGTAGGAGTAAGAAGCAGTAGTAACAGTAGTCGCAGTAGCAGTCGCAGTAGCAGTCGCAGTAGCAGCAGTAGCAGCAGCAGCAGCGGTAGTGGTAGCGCAGCCGTAGCGGCAGCGGTAGCGGTAACAGTAGCGCAGCGGTTTTGGCATTGGTAGTTCTATTTTGTCAACTGTGTGCCAAATACCACCTGGTATACACTCTAGTTGCGGGTTAGTCGGGCCCAGGAACAATGCCAGTGCCATTTGGGCAGCCCAGCGTGCCTGAAACTTGAGAGGAAGGACTTCTGATCTTTCAGTCGGGATCTTCTTGTCAGAACTTCGGCCAGGTTTATCTTTTGAATATAGTATGTGGTATACATCATACATATGATAAGGCTCGCTCAGAGAATAAAGTTGAAGGTCACACTCGGCGGGCGTGTTTCCGTGCAGGTAGGCCACAAGAAACACTGACATCACAAAGCAACCAAGGTGTGCCCAGCAACCATGTCGTGGCCGTTGGGAATTCGTTCACCATCCGGAGTCTGGCATCCTAGCTGTGTTGGTCTTACTGTCGTGCTGGCATATGCTTTCGTGTGTGAGCATATACAAATATGTGTACATGTTTTGCGCATGCTGGCAGGTGTAAGCATGCATGTATGCATTTCTGTACTTATCTGTACGTGCTAGACTATACATCTGTATTTGTATGCATGTGTTGATATTTACAGCTCTCATAATTACGTCTATGATTTTTGCACGTTTGAGTGTCATGTGGTTGGTACCATCGCAAGACTCGTGGAATGAAAGTGTACCATCGCAAAACTCGCGCAATGAAATTGTGCAAAAGGTACAAACGGCACCTTTTGACACAATCGGGTTTCGATGCCTGCAACACTTTGGCTTGAGCGAGTTCTGTTCATACTGTAGTATGTCATAGTCATTATCGTTCACCCACGAAGAATGCACTCGCACAAAGAGCACCAGCGAGAACGGATGATGCATCATTATTGCTGTCCCTTGCCTTTCTGTCCTCGCGGTCTTGAGCCTGTCATCGCCTGGCTCTGCGTCTTCACCAGCGGCACTAGCGCTTTGAAATCATAAGGCAAGGTGTGACATTTTCGCTGTGCGTTTTCGGATGAAGAGACAGACGCATATCCAAGTATGCGGCAGGTCTTGGTAACACGTCGATGTAGTGACGTAGCGAGGTGTGCGGCATGACCTGTTCTGAAACCTGGCATGACATGATGCAGCAGGTCATGCCGCGTAGACACAGGATTAATGGCAAGTAGTCATCATGCATGCGTGCACAGAGTTGCATCCAGCAATTTGCGGTAGCATAGTCATTGTAAGTATGAGAAAACCATCATCATCATCATCATCGTCATCATCACCGCGGCCATGATTATCATCACCGCGAAAAGTTGGATCATCATCATCAGCAGCAATCAGATTAATCGCCAGAGAGCAACCACCACTGCAGCTATCGGAGACAACGTCGTCTTCGCAACAATAGCAGTAACAGTATCAAGCATGGCAGCCTTATGTGATTAGCCTCTGGATGGGAGCAGCAGTAACTGTATGACAGCATCGCATAGCATTATAAGCCGGACGATCACCGCAAGTCTTCCTAACATAGAACTGCGGCATGTCTCACGAGCTGGTCTGCAAAACGGATGCGAAAGAGCCGTTGTTCCCCGCACTCAGAACCTGTCGGATCCCGAGAACAATCTCTACAGCCCAGGTGGGGGACGCTCTTTCCGGGTTCAGGTTGTGCATAGTTTTCAGGGCTTTAGGGTTTAGTGGGATTCTGGCGGGCTTTCGGGCCTTAAAGGAAGAGTGGACGAGTCGCTTTTCAGGGCATGTATGAACGAGACTTGTGCGGGTCTTGTAGGATTGAGGAAGTCTGAAATCCGTGCAGACCCCAGTGAACCCCAGTTGTCTAGAATTGCAGGCTCAAGGCTTTGGGAAATGGACCGGCTAGGAGTTCGACGTGGGCGCTTGCTGGAATCGAGGTCATCAGACCTGAGGTGAATTTCGCAACACTGGCATAAAACCAAAAACTCATCGAGCAGCGCGAAATATCTAGGACCGTAGGGGAAATGATGAGAATACTGCAAGTTACAACTGGTCCTACTGCCCCACGCAAGCACTGCACTGCAAGAGACCTGGGTTTGTGGGAGCTTGCAGCAGTTTGAGTTATCAGAGTGGAAGCGGCTTTTGGCGATCCGACAACCCTGCCGGCCAGAACAGCTGTAAAGGCGAAGTACTGGGAACGTCTTCGTCGTTCAGGCTTCGGGGGTTTGGGCATAGGGTGGAGACGGAGCTGCGGAGGCGTCACCGACTTAGCTGTGGAGAAGGGTTGGTGGCATCCCTCCGAAGCGAAGTTCCCAGGCCAGAGACTGTGAGCGAGAGAGAGCGAGAGAGAGTGCAAGAGATTTAGACAGACCACGGTTCTTTAAAATTGACCGCGAAGCCACTTAAACCATCGAACTGGGCTTGCTTGCATGGGCTTCATCCATGGTGGCAAAGGCCGTACCTGCTTCGGCTAACCCTAAAGTGAGCCGTGAGCAGGGTTTTGTCCAGATGGGAAGGTGTCTTCGACTTCTTCGGTGCATACGGCTATCAGCCGACCGTCGCTTGTCTCTGGCTAAACTGAAGCAGCATTCCTGTCTGTTCAAGCCAGAGCTGCTGCGAGCTGGCTCTTGATGTAGTCTCCATACTGCCGTAATTGCTGACCAAGTGGTGCAGAACCACGAAGGCAGAGAACACGGCTATTGAGGACATCACAAGCATCAGGAGACCGCGGGACTTCCGGGGGACTTTTGGGATTCAGAACCTTGGTAGTAGGTGTAGTGTAGCCTAAGCAAAGACCCGAGATCCCTTGGCTTGCCGGGCGACGGACAGTAGCGGCTAGCCTGTGCTTTTCGGAAGAGATCGGGATCAGGAATGATGTACTTCAGGCACCTTGCGTTTGTTTCAGAAGCAGTTTGTTCGAGGCGTAGCACATACTCGCACCACACCCGACTCAGACGAAGCATGCAGTTTCCTATTCGCCTTTGGGACTCCCGACTTGAACCCCCAGCCCGACACACGCACCCTCATCCTCCAAGGCTTCGCTCCCATTGATGGACCCTTCCCTCCTGAACCAGCCTCGCCCATAATTCCGATTCAGAGCCGGCTTGATTCATCGCGCCGAACTCGGCTGTCCAAAGGCCCCCAAAGCAGGCTCCCGCCCGGAAAAAGCCGCGACTGCAAACTTACAGCCATCAGCCAGGAACCTGATGGCGTACTACAGTGGCCGGCGCATGTGGCGCATATTCTCCCTTCTCAGCCCAAGTGAAGGCCAGGACAGATAGAACTGACGTTAGGTAATCAATGCATTGTCCAAACGAAGCGGTTATGGTCAACATCACATCAACAGCATCATCACAAACACCACCATCACCGCCGTAGGCCTCGTCCTCCGCGATAGGACTAGCGCTGATCATAGTGCTCGCAGGTGAGCTGACTCCTCGATGTCAAGATCACCCCCCACACACACACATTTCTTTGCACGCAAGCGCCCATCATTTGTCGGCGAGCTTTCGGCACAAAGGTCTGACGTAGCCGCAGACAGCTGACAGAGTCAAGAAACCCCAAACTACCCCGAGTGGTACACTAAACCTCAGAGTTTCAGAATGGCGCGACTGCTGCCAGGTGAAAAGCTGGATCCGAACTTGGGAAATCTGCCCAAGACCAAGCCCCGCAACCGCGATTATTACAGGGTTTATTCCTTTGAGGTGAATCCGCAGCTGGACAGGCCCGAAAGGCTGATGTGCTGATGGCTGATATCATATCCTAGGTCCAGGGGTCCAGCAGATTCAGGCTTCAAGCGTGCCGTTACAGAAAGTTTGGAGAAACCGGGGCCGAACCCCCAAGACCAACACCACTACTACTGCTACGACGACGACTACTGCTACTCTTTTCTACTCCCCCTGCTGCCACTGTCACTGCCACTGCACCACTACCACGAAGATGCCAAAGTATAGGGTTCGGGGTTCCATAAGAGTTACTACAAGTAGGTGCTACAGGGTTTGAAGGGTTCCCTTAAAAGGGTTCTGTAAGGTTTACTACGGGGGTTTAGGGGTTTACTGCTCAATCCCAAAATGCTTCCACTCCACATGCCTAAGCTGTATCACCGTTCAAGCCTGCTGCCTAATCAGCAGACGAATACTGGGCAGAGGACCGAACTCCCAGGGCCCAGAGGATTTTTTGGGTTCCAGGGCCCTAGTTTTCTAAAGAGGAATAATGCAAAGCTCTGAGTAAACGTTTTTTTGGGGCTTCTTACATTTGTTTGCAGTGAACTTCCACCGGAATGGCCCTTTATTTGCAGCAAAGCTTGCCCAGGGATCCATACCCGCCCTCGGTGCCGGCACCGCGTGGCTCTGTGACTCGATCGATGGTCGCTGGATGGCACAGCTCAGCGTAAAAAAAGGGGATTGTGTCAAGCATTCTATTCTCGGTTCTTGTTTAAAGGGTTTCTGCTTCAATTTAGAAGAAGCGGGCGTGGTTGATTAGGAGCAGTATTCCTTCAGTCTGCTCAGTGTTCCTCTGTAATTTTCCTTCAATGAACCGAGGACCCTATTTTGGTGGTATTAAGGCTTATCCCCTAGAAGGCGGAAGTCAGGCATCGAATTCAGGCTATCAGTGGGGTCCAAATCCATCGAAGGTCACCTGCCAAAACAGGTGTCACTCATCTTCTCTATCTAACTGTATGCACCGTTCCAAGATCCAATGTGGCGGCCACTGTTGGTCCGCCTAGGGCCTAGGAGCGCAAAAGCCCGAAGCCCCCAAGCCCCAGAGGGTCGATGAAGCCAGTCGGGTAGAGACATGCCATCGGAGACTGCGGTTCGCATTGTGGCTTCTGCCTTCCGGTTCAGTCGATTGCGAGCAAGATTTATTATGACAAGTAAACCGGTTCATCTGTTTGCTTGCGAGAGTGTTGAGCGATGCACTCTTGAAGCCAATGTTCACAGCAAGCCTGGTCACTGTCTTGTCAATGATGATGATTCTATACACGACACACATGTAGAAGCTGTGCATACAACATGGGTGTTCCTGTGTCTAGAGATGTAGTTGGTGTGTTGTAGTGAACAGCGATAATATCCTTCCATACAAGAATGTCCTTATACCTCACGGTACATCAGCATCATTTCAATAGATCATCAGCTATCAGAAACTTGGTAATTTACGCGGATGGAAAGAAATTTGTGACAGTATGTAGCACTTCTATACTGATCTTTATACGCAAAGATTGAAATATGTATACAAGATTATGTGGTTGTGTCATCACAGCTCAAAATGGCACTGACAGTATGTAAGTACATATTCCAACCATCACTGAAAACAATAAAAACATTGAGAATCTTCACAAATGTGACTGCTCATGCATGAGTGTAGTTCTGCAATCGCACAAGGAAACAACATCAAATTCATTCATAGGCGGGAGGCATATGCGAACAGGTTCAAAAGCTTCAGTATTGCGTAGCCGCGTCCATCAAAAGATAGTGTAAGGCACTGTTTTGTGACAGAAAGCAATCGCACACAACTCCACGGACAGTGACATGCCTAGCTGCCCGGCCTGCGACGATGCCTCAAGTTGCGACGGTAAAGGTGCCACTAAATGTCTCGCTTCTGAACTTCGTGTCTGTCTGTCTCTCTGGCTCTCCCTAGCCTGATTTCCGGGAGAGAGGTCATGAACACCCTGCGCGACCACTACGAGGGCACGCCTTACGACCTGACGAAGGCACAATGCTGCCTGCACGCGACCCCGTTGTTTGAGATAAGATCTTGGGGTAGTGCCTGTTATAATTCCATTCGGTCTACTCGCCTTGATCGACGCCTCAAGTTTATCGACAAGGTTGCTGATGATGACGACGATGATGGTGGTGGTGGCGGGGATGATGAAGATAGATGAAGATGAAGATCGGTGTTTTTGGAGCAGAAGGAGAGGGAAACATAATGAAACTAGATGAAGGCGAAGACTACGGTTATGGTGGTGCTAGACTTGGTGATGCGATGGTGATGAGGTGGAGTGGCTTTGAGGGGGGTTGGTGTCTTCATGAGTCAAGTTAGTGACAGTTAGTGGTGTTTCTGTTTAGATTTGGAGAAGATCTCCTGCAGATTGCTTGGCATAAGCATTGCCATGACCATGGCTATTTCCGTATCACAAGAAGCATCACTCGATCAGGACATGATGGGAGGAGGACAATGACGATGAGGACGATGTTGATGGTGGTGATGGTCAAGGTGACGACGGCATACCGACGAGGTCGATGATGATGGCGACCATGTTTTGGATGATGATGATGATGTTGTTGATGATGATGATCGTGATGATGATGACCGTGATTGTGATGATGATGACTGTGATGGTGATGATGATGGTGATGGTGTTGGTGTTGCTGATGATGATGGCGATCATATTACCGCTATCATCATGTCGTTGTTGCTGCGACGTTTTTGTTATCAGTATTTTGTTTCTTCTGTCCAGAAGGAAAACAGTTATGTGGACTCATGAAACGCAAGCGCTATTGGCACAGCGACTGCTTATCGACCCCAACTTTCTGCTTGTTCCAGGGCATGGCTGCCGGGCCGCATGGGACGCCGAATCGGGGGCCCATCACGGGCATCAAGGGCACCTTGGAATGCGAGAGTTTCGGGGATTGAGGTTGGCTGCTCTGCATGGGAGACAGGCATGCAGAGGGGAGGTCAACGTAATTCAGCTCCCTGAAAGACGAAAAGGGAGCTTCAAAATGCCACCTTATTATCCCAGCCCTGGACTCTTGCATTCAGGGCAGTGGGAGCGAGCCATCTCGATGTTCCGCACGGCATATTCGTATGTGACGCTTGGCTACTGCCACATCAGGCATGTTTATGAGATTATCGGCTTGAGTTTACGTCTCCGTTGGAGTTTAGGGTTTGTCAATCTTGAAGCAATGCAGCAGAAGCGCCCTTGCTTTTAGAATGCTGCTGCTCGCAAGCCCAGTCCTCTCTTAAGAGGCTTGCATTGCTCGTTCACCGAGGTTGGAGATTCGGCCAAACCGGCGGAGCATCACATGGCCGCTAGGAACGGGAATTACGACCACTACTGCTGTAAGTATCCCTTCATCGCTCGGGAGCCACACAAGGAAGTCTGTCATTGGGGAAGGTTTGTGTTTTAGAGCTTTTACGGGTTCAGAGTATGCTTTTGCGAGTTTAGGGTTAAGGGCTAGTGTCTTGGTGAGCAGGGTCGTGGAGCAATGTCACTCCTGGTTCAGCTGCTGCATTTAGGTTTGGCTATGACGCTGCGCACGGCACGGCTTGGATGCCGTTCTATGGCTCCTCACCCATCCCAGCGCCCGGTTGCCTAGCATGTCGCTTTGAGCTGAGCCTTTGAGATCAACTTGACCTGGGTTCAGGGTCGGGGGCATCTTTTCCTTCTGTGGTGGCAGTTGGAAGAACTGTCTTGTCGTGAATCTTGAAAGGCTCCTGCCAAGTAGCAAACGAAGTTCCTGTCCTCAGGCTTTCACAGTGGCAGCCCGAGAAGGGTCGTAACACCTTTTCGTTTGCCCGTGACCGTGCGTGAAGGCCGCAGATGTACACTGCGCACGGCCTGAACATGTCCACTTTCAACACGGATGCAGGCCGGCCACTGTTTCCTAAAAGAATGAACTTGGAGGTGCACTGCTGTGATGGCCGACCTGGATGGGAAGCCTGGGTTTGTTCAGCTAGGAGTTAGTGAGAAGAGCTCGCATGTCGCCTTGTTGCAGCTTGGTGGGCATTCAACCTCGTGAACCAGTACTCCGACATCAACTTCCAGCTGCCTGTCAGGTGAGTTCTGCCCAGGATGCAAGAAGTCGAAACAGCTTTAAGCCGAGGCCACCCCTGCTGCTGTTATGAACAAAGAGGACAACCGTGAGCCACGACATGTACATCTTCAAAGCCATGTAGGGCACAGACCGAACAAAAGAATTCATAATCACACGAGTTAACTTGTGCAAGGGGCGGTTTGATCGTCGTTCGGAGCAGCCAAGGCTCATCAACGGCGAGGCCCGCGCGAAGGCCAGCGAGATCGAGCTGGAGGCGGCGAAGCTGGTGAAGGCCCTCCTTGGTCCGTGGAGGGTTTGTGAGGGTGTTGCTGGGTGTTCGGGCTCACGGCATCCAGGCCTTGTGGGGCGGAGGCCTTTCTAATTGAATGACAAGGATTGTTGCTTTCAGTCCTATGTCCACAAGTTCGTCTGCGGCGTCCGGAGACCCCGCCCTTGCAAGAAGCAGCAGTTTCCAGGTTTGGGAGGCATCCGTCGACAGCTCCGGCGAGGACGCCGCAATTCGGAAGCCTTTGCGGGCCTGAGACTAGGCTTTTGGGTAGGTTTCAGGTAGGCTTATTTGCTTTGCAAGGGGGTTGTGGGTTCGCTCAAGTACACGCAAGTTTTGTGGCAGCTGCCGCGTTTGCATTTGTCGATGAGGAGGATGATCTTGCTATACTGGCGGCCAAGACCAATGCATACGCTGAGGCGAAGGTCCAGGACCCTGGCTACCGGAAACAGCAGATTCAAATCCGAGACTTGCAAAGTACACCATCGATAACAGTCCTGGCTGAGCATTATCGTCCCCCAGCTACTTTTGTTATTGTGCGTGTTCTTGCATTGCTTGGGTTCAGAGGTGGTGTGAGGTGATGCATTTTGCTTACTATGTTTGCCTTGCTGCTTGTCTCTCATACTGCGGACTCGCTTCAGGCCTTCACACCAACCTTTCTAAAAACTCCAGGGTGAAGTACTGACTGAACGTCCCGCAGTGAAATCCTTGCTTTCCTGGATCTGGCAACATACACACCGTTCTTTGGCCGTGCGTGGCACAGCCAAACTTGCATTACTTGCACAATGAGCCAAGTTCTCACCACGTCAGCCTCATACAATAAAGCGAGTACCACAGGACTGAGGAAACGGCCGTGACAGCAGCTGTCCCATCGTGCACATCACATGATGTTCATCGGATGTCGGGAAAACTGAGGAACACTTGCACGGGCCACTCGCCGGTGTCGTAAGCAACCCCGGGATTCAAATCCAGCCGTGCCGAATCCTAACTTCTCTTCAGGAGTGGTGGAAATTCGCCTGGTATCTCATCGCCAAGTATGGCCGGCAGGTTGTCACATACAACGACGCCTGTCTTGAATGAGGCCGTCCGACCATCCGGGAAGTAGAGGAGGAGGAGGAGTGGTGGGAGCAGGAGACGTAAGAAGTTGAGAAGCAGTGCAGTGCCATAGTATCAGTCGTTGTCGTCGTCGAAGTACTCGTAGCAGTAGTCGTCGTCGTCACCGTCGTAGCAGTAGCCGTAGCCGTAGGAGACGGATAGGAGTAGGTGTAGTAGTAGTAGTAGTAGTAGTAGTAGTAGTAGTCAGTAGTAGTAGTAGTAGTAATAGTAGTAGTAGTAGTAGTAGTAGTAGTAGTAGTAGTGGCAGTAGTAGGAGGAGTAGGAGTAGGAGAGGAGTAGGAGTAGGAGTAGGAGTAGGAGTCGGAGTAGTAGTAGTAGTAGTCGTCGTCGTGGTAGTAGTAGTAGTAGGAGTAGGAGTAGGAGTAGTAGGTAGTAGTAGTAGTAGTAGTAGTAGTAGTAGTAGTAGTAGTAGTACGTACGAGTACTAGAAGTTACTGCTAAGGCCGCTGTTCAACTTGCATTATGGCATCGGATGAAGGTAAGGGAATG